GACATATGGCGAATGTGAAATTAACGCAAACAGCAAGACTTCTCTTCAATCCCACTTGGACATACTTGTCCTTAAAGACATTGTCTAAACCGGTACAAAAATCGTACGCCTTGCAGTCCCGAGGCCAAATGTTACCGGTTGAAAAATCGTCTTTGATCGGATCAGACAAAAAGCAACCAGATGAATTTTGGGGCATCATTCATTAATATAATTAATCATATTAAAATGGATGGAATATCGACGAGCACCCAACTATGCTCTCTAGTATGTTGGCAGATATCTGGGTCAAATGTTCTGATGTCACTGCCTTAGTTGCACAGCCTCAAGCATGCATACTTCGTTAGGAAAGTGTATCTCTTTGTCACTGGATCATAAGCCTTGCTGACCCTGGCCTTACGATAGGATATTTTGCAATTAATCTGAGCTATGGCCAGTATTGCATACCCTGACCTACACATGCAGAGACGTTACCACACACATACACTTATGCATAAGTACCCATATTGATACATCTATCCATATATATTTTTTTTGTTTTGTATGCACGGCTGAGTCCCCACCCTAACGATGTTCGTCCTGTAGCATGACGAACGAACACTCAGCCAGTTTTCACCCGAAACGAAGCAGAATGTCTACTGGAATTCGTAAACCTGAAGGTCGTCTTCTGGTTCAGATCGACTTAAGAAACTGTTCATCATGCAATTGCATACGAAATGAAATTCTCTACCTCTTGGAGACGCCACGACCATGTTGCGAAAACAAGGTTAAACCACCTCTGGTCCAGCCTGGTTGGGTCCAGAAGGTAGAGCTCATTGGCAGAAGCAATACATGCGGTGAGAGATAGTGTTTATGCACGAATACATCAGCAACCCATTCTGAAAGATCCAAGTCTCTTGCCTTCTCGACGGGCCTAGATTCGAGTCCGTATACCTCTTGGGCCGGTCGCTAATGCCTGCGAGCTCAACCGATATGAATGCCATCTGAGACCGCCTTGCGTTGTCCAGGGTGGATCAGTCCGTGTCACCGGACTGCGAGGCGGAAAAAGGAGAACGGGACAGAACGCCCTCCAAAGCAGTAGCAAAGTTGGCGTCCCATTCTCGGGCTACTGGTTAGAAACAGCGAAACTGGCCAGCCAGACAAGCTCTTCTGCGAGCCTACTCACGCACAAAGTCTTCACTGCTCATTGGCATGCTTGCGCAAACAAGCAAACATCGAGGCTGCGATGCATTCTCGCATTATTCCCTCGACAACCAAGCTTGTCCACGATACATCGTCAACTGGTTGTGAGCAGTTGTTTACCCATTCGCCTACAGGCCTCGGCCAAATCGGTACATGCAGGTGAAGCAAAGCTGACCGTCAGTCGGCCTCGAGTTGCACCGGCGTCGGCCAACTTGAAGACGTCGACGAATGGATCATGCTTTGGTTCGGGTCACTTTTGGCGGAGTCAATTAACAAAATTCCACCATATTTCGTTTAATGTGATAGAAGAGTGTGGTAGTTGAAGTTTTCCTCCATCATGTGAGGGAGCCTCACTTTGACATTTGGAAATTAAGGCTGTGTGAAATTCAACGGAGCTATGAAGCCTACTCATATGATTCATTGTCCTCAAGATCTTCAAGTCGTCTCCATAGCATCCTTGAGAACGAAGACATTCGATTGAGACACTGGATACAAATGGATAGTTATCAATCACTGTGCTGTCCAGCTACTTTTGTGTACCTGGTTGGGTGCAGAAGCAGGTTAAAGGGAGTGCTAGGGAAGGATAGAGAATGACTGAAATTTCCGGGATAGAAGGAGTGATATAACACATCTGTTGAGCAGGAGGGTGGTCAGAAGAGAGACTGTGCTCGACAGGCTGTAGTTTGGTGCTAAAAATGGCAAGACATGTGTATATGGACTACTAAAGCAGAGCACTTGAGACAAGGTCCTTTCAAACCACTTCTTCATAACTTCAAAGGATGACTGTTGCTTGTAGGTCCAGGGGTCAACTTGGTTGCAGGCCTCGTTGTACGGTCACGTTACGTGTCAAAAGGGCCATCCTCCGATCTCGAGACGGCTGAAACTGGAGTGATTCTTGTTCGCACATGAAACCTCCGCTCACCTGATTCCAGTAAAAACACGGCCGTAATGAGACTGCAACTTACCGAGAGGCCAGATTATGTCTATGAGAATATACGTTTTGTCCTGTAATATAATTGAATGTAGGATCCGGCTTTTTGAATTGCGCATCCCCTAACGTCTTTCCAGCTGAAATGGGGGACATGAAGAATTGTACCTCAATTCGCTTCCCACTGGTGCCTTATTGGTTGGTTTCGATTGTCTCTGCTTTTTGCAACTACCTCTAAATCTATCACAAACTTCACTACGTCTAGTTCAAGAACATTCAATCTCTATGTGTCGAGCTTA